TGAGAAACACTGAATTATAGAAAGAAGAGAGTTATGCTGTAGCCACAGAGTAAGAAGTAAATTTATAATTGTACTTATAACTGCTACAAAGGAAATTAGAAGCTGCTTCTTTGTATCTTTTTCCTTTTTTCTATCTCTCTTTTCCTTTTTTCCCTCCCTTGCCCTTTTCTCTCTCTCTCTCAGAGTTCTTTCTTCTTCTCCCTTTACACGTGTCCGTCTCAGGTTTCCTCAGCTTTCTCAAAACCTCCCACAAATAAAAGGACCCAGCTCAAAAAACAAGGACGCACCTCCTGGCCACAGCGGCGGGCCACGAAGGCGGGAACGGTCTCGTCCGGCGCCGGGCCACGGGGGGCCACCAGGTCCTTCAACCCACTCCAGATGAGAGGTCGGGAGAACGGAGCAATGGTCCGGAAGACGCCACTAGGGAAAAGAAGAAATATTCTCGTTAGGGCCCGTGAACAAGGATGGATCTCCCCTCCCCTTGCAAAAGCGATCACTGGATTTTAGGGAACGGGAACGCACCTCATTTATTTATTTATTAAATTTCTCCTCCACCCATCTCCCCCCCATGGGGAAACTCTGGGCGACGCACCCAGAAGATTAAAACCAGAAATAGATATCAAGGCATAAAACATCCATAAAAAAAAAAAGAAAAGGAGAGTCCAAGAGATGAAGAGAGTCCAAGAGACGAAGCCATCCCCACGTACCTAATGCCGGAAGGGAGTTTGTGGAGGGTCCCCCCGACGTAGAGGTAGCGATTTTTCGAGGCCGGGTGGTCTCCAGGAACGGGAAGAACGTCAGCTTCGAGTCCAAGCTCCGAGACCTGGCGAAGAATCACAGCATCATTGCCCTCCAACCGGCGACGGGTCCTTCCGTCGAAAGCCACCCATCGCCCAAAGTCGGATTATTCCGGCCGCTGTCCTCCCACCTCTCGCAACCCCCATCGGTGGAATTAAAAAGCGCCGTTTTAGGGGAGAAGAAAAGAAGAAGGCACTTGTGGATTGAAACCTTCTGGCCCTGCCTTTGCAAGATTCCTGTTTTGCCAAGGGGGGGTTCGGGAATAAAAAGCCACTTTTCAGGACGAGGAGCGTTGGGCCCTCCGCTGCCAGCCCCGATTCGGTTCCCACCCTTAAACCGTGGCTTACGGAACCAAGCTGGACAATCTCTATGGCTTTTATAGATGTGTGGTTTCTGTTTTCGTCCGGGGTATTTATATTTTTATTGTTTTATTGTCTTGGTTTTTAACGGGAAGCTGCCCAGAGTCACCCTCTGGGGGAGATGGGCGGCATACAAATTTAATAATCAATCAATCAATCAATCAATCATTTTAAAAAGCCCAATTGGCTGGGTTTGCCGAGTCCAAACCAAACCCATTATTTCCTTGGCCAATTTCATTGCAGCACGAGGGGGCAAAGCAGCCCACCGTTAAATAAGCTAAATCTCTTATTTTACTCTTCTTGATGCATTGTGGCTAGTACCAACCGAGGCTCTACATATTCAAATAAATAACATTATTTCTCTCCGGTTCTTGCTGCCCATTTTTCGACAGTTGATCCCTGGTGCTTCTCTGATCCATAGGTTTCATTCATCTAAGTAGGTCTCTGGAATGGCATTTCGCTCCCCCGGCTTGTTCATCCTCCCCCCAAAACATACCATAAGAAGCGTGTTTTTTCCTACAGCTCCAGCGGGTCGGATCCCTCTTGGGCCGTGTTCGAAAACAGCCCCATCCTCCGTCTGGGTAGAATGAATCCAACCCCCCAGCCGGGGGCTGCCTTCCAAAAGGATGACCTGGACAGAAGGGGAAGAGGAAGAGAAAGAAGAAGAGAAAGAGAGAGAGAGAAAGGGAGAATGAGAAAGAGAGAGAGAGAAAGAGAGAGAGAGAAAGAGAAAGAGGAAGAGGAAGAGGAAGAGAAAGAGAGAGAGAAAGAGAAAGAGAAAGAGAAAGAGAGGAAGAGGAAGAGAGAAAGAGAAAGAGAGAGGAAGAGGAAGAGAAAGAGAGAAAGAGAAAGAGAGAGAGAAAAAGAGAGAGAGAAAGAAGATGAGACAAACAGGACTTGATTTGGTCCAATCGAAACCAGGGGGGTTGCGAGTTGTTTTAATAGCCTCTGTTCCCCATCTAATTTCCATCAGGACCGTGGCTGAACATGCCAATAGAAAGCAAAACTAGAAATACATTTTTTAAAAAAGAATAACAACAACAAAAAATAGAATTCGTGAGTTGGCTCTACTATTAACACCCCTTCACCTATTTTCCTTTTCTGTTTTAGGTCTGTTTTTATAGTTTTTTATCATTATTATATCATGGTTTTATGCCATGATTGCTTATATATTTATTGTTTTATTGGGTTGTGGTATGCCTCACTTTTTGTGAGAGGGGCGGCCATATAAATGGGATTGACTGACTGACTGACAGACAGACAGACAGACAGACAGACAGACAGACAGATAGATAGATAGATAGATAAATCCGAGCAAAACTTTCTCAGTTCCACGGGGGAAAACAACCCAAGGAGGAAACTTAATTTGGCATCCTCTGTATTAACGGAGGAAGTGAAAACAGGAGAAAGGAACGATGCAGAATAAGAGCCACGCCCAGGCGGCTTGTTTAATTTTTTAAGCCGTTAGCAAATTCCCACGTGTTTGGTTTAACTCAAAAAGGAGAGGAATAGGGCTTCAGGATCACGCGATCCATCGGGCAAGCTCTCACCTTAGACGCTAGCGTGCTTCTGGCGAGGTAATAGCAAGCCGCGAGACCGCTCACTCCTCCGCCAAGGACAGCTACCCTCGGTTGCATTGGGAATCTGAAAGGGGAGAGGATGGGATAAAGGATAGGAGTAAATCCAGGTAGTCCTCGCTTAATGACCACAAGAGGGACCATAAAATTGAGCTGGGTGGTTGTTAAGCGAATCGGACCTGATTTTACAACCTTTTTTGTGGTGGTCGTTAAGCAAATACACAGTTGTTAAGCAAAACTAGCTTCTCCCATTGACTTTGCTTGTCAGAAGCCCCCTGGGAAGGTTGCAAATGGCGATCATGTGACCCTGGGACAATGCAACCGTCGTAAGTGTGAGTTGGTGGCCAGGCGCCCAAATTTTGATCACGTGACCGCAGGGACGCTATCACTGCAAGGACTGGTCGTAAGTCACTTTTTAGCACCGCTGTAACTTCGAACAGTCACTAAACAACTGGTCGTTAAGCAAGGACTACCTGTACAGGCATCGGTCACAACTAGGTTGCAATACTGTACGATGCTGTATTACACTGTAGTATAAAGAAGGTGGCTTAAGTTTGCAAAACATGATTCACCTGGGGAGCACAAGTTAAACCACCTTCTGGGTTTGGGTAATAGAAGGGAATCACAAACAAAGCCAGCGGGATGCTTCCCCAAAACACAAGGCCCATAGAACTAACCCAGTTTAAAACTAGCCATGGTTTGGGCTACTGGTTCTTTTAACTGATCTGTTAAGCACGTTTTGGTTTTCCCTGTTTCTCCTCTGACACGATAACCCAGAGAGGCAAGTCAGGCCGAGCCGTTGGTCTAAAATTAGTCTCCCCGGTGGCTTCCAGAAAATTAAATGAAAGAAAGAAAGAAGTTGAGCGAACAGATCGGAAGCTGATCAAGTTGGAGCATTAGGCTCCTCTTCCTGCACTGTTTTTAATTAAGTATTTCCCCCCATCTCTTATCATTAGGATGAGCACCTGCCCCTTATTTTACTAGGAGCCCGTTTCGCCCCCGAAAGCCCTAAGCCTCTCCCTCCTCACGGGTCTTTCCTCGGAAGGCGTTAATCTGCTAAGCTTTCGGGTGCACGCATCCTCGCCCTGCGCCGATCCTGAATTTATTCCTCCTCTCTCCGCAGGGGATGCCAGACCTTGGTCCTCTCGGATGAACGCCCGCTTTATCTGCCTTTCGACTCTCCCGGCCACTTCCCACTCCTCCCCAGCCCGCCTTCCTCTCTCTCCTGAGCCCAATTTTGCCGCCGCTGATCTCTCCTGCGCCAAAACCCCGCCTTCTCCAACTCCCGGGTGCATTCATACGACCAGAACGATGACCCGGGATCTCAGCAGCCCCTCACCGCGTTGTTCCCACGCCGAACGAACTTGGGTTTTCAGTCCCCCAGCGCAGCTGATTCGAGCTCCTCCCTCCCCGCCGGGATTGGTCGAAATGGCGATGACGTACATCCTCTCGGATTGGGCCAATCGCCTCCAATCGAACGCGGAGGGGCGTGGCCGGGGAGTGGGCGGTGCCTTCGTCTTGATGGAGCCGGCGTGGAATTTTATAGGTTCATCATCAAAATAGTCCTAAATTGCATTTCAAAGCCCATCGATGAGATCCGTCGTATTACAGCTCCTACCTCTAACCTGACAGAGAGTTAAAGAGGACGAGAGTTTCACTTTCTGGCGATGGTCTGGGCAGGTAAAGTCCTCGAAGATGTAACTGCACAACTCTGCAGGGCTGTTGTACGGCTCAGAATAAAGCATCATACATTTATTAAGCGCATTCGTCCCAGTGTCTTCTCTCCAAGTATATCTGAGCTCAGAAGAGTCTCCAATGAAACACCCGCTGTCCCCAGTCAGCGAAAGATAGTTTTTATAAATACGCTAGGGAGCTCAGGGGGCTGATAGACTGCATCTGTTGCTGGAGGTTCTTCATCCTGAGCAAGCTCTTGTACTAACTAGGCCCCACCGAGACAATTCCAGCTGGTTGCTTGGGCTATTCAGAATAGAGAGTTGCCCAGGAACCCCCCTGACACACACACTTTGTCTTTTAGCCTAATTAAGTTACGTTAACTTAGTTAAGATGCAGCAACGGACCTTAAATCAAGACATTGAACCCTGCCACATCATACTGCCAGCATTTCTGTTCTCTGAATGTCTCTCTCTCTCTGCCACTTTCATCCAGAAGAAAAGAAACTGAGTTTTCAGACAGTTCAGCTCTAGATGGCTTGAAAAGGGGATCTACCAATTCACAGAAGACGGCAATTCTCAGTGGCTCTCAAGACACAACTGTTTAATGGAACTTCCACCTACACAGTATGTTTCATCTGATCAGTTTTTGGGGGAGCAAAACGATCACATCTATGATCACATCTGGCGAGGATGACTCCACCCACCAAGGTTAGGAAGTTCTTAGTAAGCCTCAAATATTGGATCAGTTAAACTCAGATGGTCCAAAATCCTCCAGGGATTCAGGCAGGCATGTTCCCCACAACTCAGGACCCCCTTCGAAAGCCCAACTTCCCATCCCTCCCCCAAACAGAGCCAAGGCCATTTTTTTTTTGTTAAATAAATTTATTCACAAAAAGTTTCAGTCTCTTCATTTTTCTCTTGATCATCTATGTACAACAAACCCTTCATTATGTAGAAAGTTGTTAAAACCAAGAATGATACCCCCAGTCTCGGACTGGGGGGATGGGGTGTTAATAGCCCACCTTATTTTGGCCCTGAGGGTTGGGGGGCATAGGGAAAGGAGGGAGGGAGGGCAAAATAGATGGGTGGAGAAGGAAAACGCTGCTTCGCATTACGTGCTGTATCGCCCTCTGAGGCTTCAACCCACAATCCCCACGTTCCTATGCGATCCATGTTTCTCCCCCATCTTGCCTTAAAATTCTGGGGAATTTAGCAGCAGGAAAACCCCACAGAGGCAAAAATAAAATAAAATTTAAAAATAAGCCTGGATAAAGAGGTAGGAAAGAGGTGGAGAATCAGCTCGGGTGCCTCTTGAGAAACAAACCCCACGCGGTAATTGTTTGTTGATTTTATTATTTTTTTTTCTTTTGCCGTGTTTCTTATTTCCCCTTCTTTTCTTTTAATGTTAAAAGACCCAAGCGCCAGTCTCTGAGGTAAGAGGGGCCGAAGGTCGAAGGGCTGCAAATCAATACTTTTTACTGTTTCTTCCAGTGCAAGTCCTCCAGCTCGTAGAAAAGAACGTAACCTTCGCTTGATGAGACCTGGTTCTCACTGATGGGTGACACCCTGCCAGAAAGAGGGAGAAATGGGGTGGGGGGAAGAGAGAGGAAGGAAGGAAATCACATGAGAACATTGCTTCCAGATGCATGAAACGGGCCCGCTGTGGTCACACGCTGAGTATTTTTTAGCTTGATGAGAAATACCTCCCTGAATGCCACGGCAGCACATTTGTTATTAATCCTGTTCTTCTTATTAAGTCATAATCATCTTGAACCTGTAGAGGCTAATCCAGGGTGGGAATTCCACCTTAAAGTAGAAGTCTGACACGACCGTGGCGATCATGTCCAGATGTGGCTCAGCCTACCATCTGAATGTGCCCATCCAGTCTTCTACCACAATGGTGGAATAGGCACATTGTCAAGGCTACAAGCTGAGGCTGTTCCTCTTTAGCAGATACTTAAAAAAACGGAGGTTCCCCCCCATCCCACCGTTAATATGCTCTGATGCTACCGCTAAATACTGCGTAACTGGATGTTCCTCTATTTTAGCGTTTGGGGTTTCTTTACGGATCGCTGAGGAGATCTGCTTTTGCCAGCCGGCCTGGGCATCCCGGGTTGATACGGAGCCCAACAAATGGCTAGTGTAAATCTGTGGTTGTCACCAGGGGGCTGGGGAGGCAGGTGCAATAGGTTTTGTATCTGGTGTTTTTATTTCTGTAAGCCTCCCAGAGTCCCCATAAGTTGGGCGGCTGTATAAATTGCTTTAATAAATAAATAAAAAAAAGAATAAACGTTCACCAAAGGTGATACGTGCGCCGTTTAAATGCCCACGCTGTGACTTGCTTACCGGGAATCATTAAACACCCGCCAGCCAGACTGATCCTTACAGAAGGCTGTGTAATGACCATAATGGACGCTACCGGAGTGATTGCACAGGGCGTAGAGGTTGTACACGGGGGTGCCTTCAAAAGAGAGAAAACGGTGTGTAATATATACTAATACCCACGAGCCGCCTCTGCTTCCTGGATCCTTAAAGACAGTCTTTAAAAACAAATTTGATGCTACTTTATGAGATCATCCTTCCTGTTAGGAATCAGATGTGTCTCAAATGAACACACTTTTTTTAAAAAGCTGACTTCTTGGATTGGGGTTAAAATTAAAATCCTCACTGATGTTGACAATCTGAGTCTCAGAAGATACCCAGAAGGGAATGCCCCCAACTCAGGGCACAACTTACCAGCCTTTTCGCTGGCAAACTCCTTCAGGCTGAGCTGCTGGAGGGGGAAATCCACATATACAGAACATTTCTTAATGGAATAGCGGGTGGTGGAAAACCGATTGAGATCTGAGACCACAGGGGTTAAGGAACCCTCACAGCTTTGTAAATGTTGGTTTTATCCAGGTGATGCACAAAGGCAGACCCAACTCAGGCCTGACTGCTGCTTAAGCCATGCTTATAGGTCTGTTATTTTAAAAAGAGAACACGAGAAGGAACAAAAGTCTGAAGAAAACACAGAGATAGGAAAATCAGTGCCACTCCAGTTCTCTCCAAAACACTGCCCTGGAAGATCACTTCTATTACAAAGATCTTGTAGGCACTGGCTTGGTCTCAGGTCAATACAACACAGATGTTTCTACTAAAAAGGAATTCAATGCCTAAGCCTTTAGATGGGTTTGTATCTAGAAGCAAATCAAAAAAGCCAATTCTACTAAATAGGAATAATAGGAGATGTATACTTTTCTTAAGAGCGTCGGTTCCTCTATGGAATGATATTTAAAGATTACTCACGTTCTAATTCACAGGGACTTAGGACAACCTCCCATCTGTGCCAGGAGACTTTCGCCAGCAACTACAACCCTCCAACCCTTCACATCTTCTCCCTCGTGATCTTGTACTTCTCCCCAAAAGAACCAGGAGCAATGGAGAAGCAAATGTGAAAAGGATACGTAGCACAAGGATGCGAGGAAAGCGCTGGATGGTCAGCTTCTTGGTGCTTCGGGTCCTCTGTCGGCATTTGTCACATACCTATGCCAAGAGAGAGAAAAGAGCGAGTTTGGCTTGGTGCAAACTTTGTACAAATAATTACTAAGACTGAGATTTGCCCACTTCGGTTCCTCCCTTTGCCATTTGCTATGTATTGCTGGTGCAACCTCTCCTTCCTCCACCTCCTTATGTATTGCTGGTGCAGCCTCTCCTTCCTCCACCTCACCATTTACCAATTTCACCCCGTATTCACAATGATCTTAAGTACTGACTAAAACCAAATATTGCAATCAAAGCAAGCCAGTATGACTTAGAACTACATTCCTAATCTCATGGGTTGAAATTTCCTCGGCACACAGGAGCACCGGGAAGAAGGAATCCTTGATTAATAGGGGAAAAAGTTTACCGGTGCATTTTCAGAATCCAGTTCCTCTTCTTTGGTGAAAAGGCTGAAACAGTCAAGGAGAGAGACCTTCCCACCAGCGAATCCCTTCTGTGAAATCCAAACAAGGATTTGATTGAAAATATCTTCTATCTCGCCATTTCCCAGAGCAAAGCTCAAATACAGCTTGTACAAATTAGCACAGAGTTGTATATTGTTAATAATCGCATTTGTATCCCATCTTTTCCCCAAAAGTTCAAAATGGCATACACAGTTCTTGCCTTCTCCCATTTTATTCTCATGAAGACTCTCCGAGATAGGCCAGCTAGAGAGAGCATGATGGGCCCAAGACCACAGGGAGCTTGAAGGATACAGAGGGATATGAACCTGAATTCTAGCTATCACCACCACTGCTCTGCAGAACTGCCATCTCCGCTACTAACAACGCCCAACCTCACTGCCGTGCCTATATGGAATCAAAACGCAGGATTCAAATGCAAAATAAACAAGGCTTCACGGCAGTGTTAGACAGTGCGCACTGGAGGGGACCCACCAAGGGTTAGTAGGAGACACTCCCCTACAGGCAAAATGGATACCCTGATATTTATCCACTTCTACAAGGGGAAGGGAAAAAGAATGTATACACATACATATTCCTATGAAGATGCAGGCCTATCTAAATAAGCAATACTTCTCAAATTACTTTCTGTCCCTCTGTTAGCTACTATCTACAAGGAAGACAATAGCGTCACAGAGAAGAAGAAACTATTCCTTCAAGGTGCCAAATGCCAGGAAGAACACGTCCTCCTTCAAGACTTGGTACATGGGAATGTTTGTGATGAGGCTTTTTACAACCAGCCTAGTTCCCACCAG